TCGCACGATACTTAGCAGGCCATACCAGGCCCAGTCCGGTTGATATTAGGCGTGGCAGGTCTTTTTCTTCTTTTATTTTTTTATTTTTTTGGTTCCGATTCTTATTAAACAGTTTTGAAGAATAATGAGAATAAAAAAACAGTTTTCACATAAAAGAGAAGGAGTGTCATTTCAAATTGAATTGTTTTCTGTATTTTTTTTTTTTTATTATCTAATAAATAGTAAACAGTTATGAACAGAATCAAACAGATTCTTATTTGGCACGAATATAACAGACAAAGTAAAGTATTATTTGGTCAATATTTTTTTTTTCTTATTAAAAATGAACATTTTAATAAGAAATGCTACAGATGACTACTGCAATTAAAAATGGATATATTTTATTGTTACCAACAATGTGTCTATATACAAACCCTACACACATTCAACATTCAGAACGATAGATTCTGGAAAGAAATATATATAGAAAGGTCAAACACCAAAATATTCGAATTGCATATCTATGTGAGATTGCATGCATTGTATGTTAATCTGTATCTAATGTTTTTATTTTTTATTTTTTAATCTTTAATCTGTAGTAGTTGTGACCGACTAATCCCTGGATCTAAAGGCGGTTCCAATTGCTCTTCATCTATATATCCATTTCCTTTCATGAATTTCATTAATCATTGTGAATTACAAAGTAATAACTCAGCCTCAGATATTGGGAGATACTTCTACTTGACTTTTATATTTGTTTTTTCAATGGTAATAATTTTAAAATTAAAGAGTTTGAATAGAATGAAGAGTTATAGACTCTTCTATTAGTTAGATACACTCAATTAGGAGTACTTTGATTCAATTGAATGTATTCAAGTTGGGAGCCTTATCTCCCTTATTTTGTTCAAACTCTCCTACCTAAATAATGTTACTTGTTTTTCAACTAGAAATGCTCAATTAGAAACAAACTCAACTAGGAATGTTCAATTAGAAACAAACTATGTTGTATGATGTGTACTCACAATTAGGGTTGGACCGATTAAGGGTTCGATTGGGGTAGTCACCCTTAATTTTTTTTATTTACAAAGTTACCTATAAATTTTGTAAATTTTTAAAAATATCTTTATATTTTATACAAATCTTAAAAATACCCTCACTCAATTTCTAACTATACCTCATCACACATTATTGTTGTTCAAGATTGTCGTCTAACAAAATGGAAGACTCAACCTTCCTTCGAAAATAAGTGATTATATCATCTGATGTAATTTCCATTGGTTACCAACAAATATTTTGTTATTTCATAAAATAAAATAAAAAAAAAAATTGATTATTGACTTTAAATTGTATCTTCTAGCTTTTAGTTGTTTAGAATGGAAGTTGTAACAGTTGTTCGTGTTTGTATTACACTATTGCTCGAGTAGTAGGGTGCCTTGAGAGGAGAGAAAAGTACATGTTATCATCCCTTTTAGCCAATAAAAAAGGTGTGTGTGTGTGTGTGAGAGAGAGAGAGAGAGAGAGAAAAAAAACATAAAATTATGAATAGAAAAATAAAAACAAGGGGGAGGCAATAAAAGAGGGTTTGAGTTGTGTTCACTTTCCACTTCATATAGAAGAAAAGAGTTGTTGATGTTAGCCATCACATGGGGGAAGAGATTAAACTAATCCTTCTCCCTGACAACTCCAAAATATGGTTTCCAAAGTTAATTTCATGCCACACCCAACTGTCCTCCTTTCCTTCCACATAAATACCTAAAAATTCAAGCTTGTCTAGAAAACTAAACCACCCCCATCCCACATATTAATTCATATTCCCATAGTACCCTCAGCATTTTAAACTGTTGGGGCAAGGATAGACTATAGAGTATATAAAGTAATAATACTATTAATGTGGCCAAAGAATTGATCATTTATGAACCTAAACAAAACACTGAAAAGCAACTTTGAGAAGAAAAATGTGAATGAAGTATGATATTTGTGTAAGGTCAGAGAAATCTTCAGTGCCTACAAAGTGCTGCCCTATATATGCTCTATAGTCCCACTTTATATGATTCTTTATCTGAAATTTGTACTTATGCCATCTTTTGTAGCATAATGTCCTTTTGTTTTTATATTGCCCTAATATGTATTAGTTTTTGCATTTGATATCCTACCATAAAAGTCACCATGATTTGGTGATCATTGAGATTAATCAAAACACTTGGGAGTGAAAATGGAAGCAAGTATATCAATAAATTGGGATAGATTTGTAGCTTGGGTACTAGTGTTGGTTTTGGGATTCCTATGCTCTCTATTCCTCTTTAATTTCTTTACTTCGAATAAAATATCATATTATATAGTACCTCCTCATAAGATGTCTTCACAAACCCAAGTCTCAAAATATAAGAGCATTTATAATAACTAGTAAGATAGTTCTCTGAAACCAGTCCTTTATATATTAAGGAAAAATATATATATTTATAGGATAATTTGTTGGGTAGTGTTTCAAATTCTTAAAGATAATTAAATGTTGAAGAAATCCGACCAGTCACGCGATTACGAATTAATCACATTAATATTGAGAAGAAGTTATTTCCTTACAGCCGAAGACTTGTGTAGCAAAGCAGTAGGCTCTTACCTAAACATAAAGAAAGTAAGATCGTGCATTCATGGTTGGAAAAATGCAAGAAGGATAGCCCAAAATTGGTACATAACTCGAGTTTAGCAAAGTAAATTAAGGAATTATGACTCATTGGGTAGATAAAGGTGGTGAAAATCTAGCCTTTGCAGCAATCTTTAGCAAGCTAGTTAAGGTAGTTTGATTGTCAAAATCAACATAATTTCAAGAAGAAATCATATTACACATTGAAACAACAATTCCAATCACTCCCATCAGAATGAGTTAACTAATTGTTTCCAATAGATTTCTTATACAATATATATATTTTAAATATCAAATGAATCTCACTAGTGATATATATCATTCCATAAATCAATTAAATTTGAAGAGTTCAATAAACAAATTTCAATATTTGTGTAATAAAGTTCATAGTAGATTAAAAGGGCTTAAATTAAAGGGATTTTCTTTGTAGTATTCTATACCAAAAGTGTTGGATTGTCTTCACCTAGTTGCTGGTAGCTTAGTCCCAAACACATTATTCCATTCCCATTGCACAACACTCTTAACTTTTAGACTAATATACCCATACCAAATACACTAATGACTAGTTCAGCCTTCCTTAAATTGACAAAAGTGCCCCTGGTCCTTACAAAACGTATATACATTACTTGTGTTTCTTTTTTTTTTTTTTTTTTTTTGGAGATCTTTTCGAGTGTAAAGACACTTAATCAAACTGAAACCAAACTCATTGATCCAAAGTCTCAACCCCAAGCCCTCTTAAGAGCCTTAAGAGGTACAATGTACATAGACCTATTTACATTTTTATATATAATAAAATTACATTTTTCACTTTTTTTTTTTTTTTTTTAGTAACGGTAGTGATTTTAAAGTAGAAGAGTTTAAATTAAATAAAAAAATAATTTTTTTATAACTTATATACATTTAACTAAAGTGATGTAAAATTTAGTATAAATAACAAAATATTTCAAGGACACGAATGTAATTTTAAGGGGTGCATTATCAATTTGTACGAATATGTAACACAACTGCAATCACAGCCACACATCTCATAAAATCTCATCCGTCAAATCCTTCTCGATATTTTCAAAATCACCCCGAGAGAGAGAGCCTCTCAACATCTCGTGCCGTCAGATTCAGTTTCGAAATTCAGGACATCAGGAGCAGCTTGGCTCAATTACCATAATACCCCCTTCCGCTAATGCCTACAATGTAATAAAACGCACAATATAGTTGAAAAACATAAGGGTACTACTGAAATATGATATGTTTCACCTTTCTCTCCATATCGCGTTGGTCAGTGTAAAAAAATACATAAAAAGAGAAAAGCACTGAGGATATGTTCTACACGCGCCTTTTGGCTCGTGAAGACTAATCCAACCATTCCACCAATCATAGCATTTTAAGTGTCCTTTTTAGAGCTAATAAGGATAGTCTACTTAGAATTTGATATTATTGGAGGTGTCATAATCAAATGTTTTTCATATTAGAAGTATTCTTCTTACATTTATCAAAGCACTTTTTAACAATAGTTTGCAATGTACTCCACTCCATTGAAAATTTTGCCTTTTATTACAAGAACCAATAAGTTTTGTAAAATATTTGACCATATATCAACACGGACAAATCTATCCTCACATAAATAAAACAAATTGCATTCAATATAACATTTTATATATCAATGCTAATTTTTCAATTACAGAATTGTCACAAAAAAACTCCTCTATTAAAAATATATAAATAATAGAAAATTGCTTGATTTGTATAGTTCTAAAAAATTTACATTTTCTGAAAACTATAAACGACAGTATTCTTAATTTTTTTATTTTTTATAATTGAGTCTTTAAAATCAAACAGAATTTTTGAACAATTTTTTGATTATTAGTATTTTAAAAATAAAAAAAATTATTTTATGAGCGGCAATCCCCGCAATCATATTTGCTTTAATGTCACCCAACTAAAAAGTATAATTGTTAATATTAACTGTGACTTCTTTTTTTTTTTTTTTTTTTTTTTTTACAAATAACTTCGCCCCATTTATTTAAAAATTACACTTACATACACGTTTTGTCCTTATAAAGAGGACCTGAAATTGGACTTCTACAAAGTAAAGAGAAAGTAATTTTAGTCAATTAAAGCCAAATAGTTATTATTATTATTTTTTTGGATAAAAAAAGGCCAAATAGTTATTTATTTATATATATAATTTTTTTTAAAAAAAAAAAAAAAAAAAAAGGTAAAGAGAAGCCAAATAGTTCTATATAGCTATGTCGACATTTAACCAGAGCGTGATCTCAATCGCTTTAAGTTAGCGTGGGTATGGAGACAGTGATAGAAACCCTGGCAGGAAGATAACTACGTCTACAGACAAGCCACAAAAATTAAATAAAAAACAGAAAAAATAAAATAAAATAAAATAAACAAACAAAAGATAGAGAGAGGAGAGAGAAGGAGAGATGAAGGGCACTCCTCTACTTTTTTATGTTGCACGCATCCATGGCAGAAAACAGAAGACAGTACTACAAGGACAAGAGAAGAAGAGAAGAGAAGAAGAGTAAAACAACCACCACCACCACAACCAAGAAGACTAACCCAAGAAGGAGAACAACAACAACAAACAAGGAGATAGCAAACATGGGGTTGTGAGATATTTACACACGCATACCATGCTAAAAATACACATACGCACAGAGGAGCTGCTTCATGTGTTTGTTTGGTGAAATGGGTCTCTTCAGTTCTATGCATTTAACTAGTGTAGCTTTGAAATTTCCATTTATTGTAGTCTTTCTCTTTTTGTGATTATAGATATAGATATGTTGTTTATCTTTGTTTGAGAACTTTTGGGTAGTTTTGATTTTGGGTTTTTGGAGCTGAAGAGAGATTGTGGGTTTGTGGGTGTTTTAGATGAAGGGGATGCCCTTACCCTATGATTTTGAGGGGAAGGGGGTGTTAGAGTTGGAGCTTGTTGCAGAGAATACATCATCATCATCATCATCATCTTCTTCACCATCCTCAAATCCATTGGTTGTCCAGAAGTGGGAAAAGGAGGCTTGCTTTGTAGATTGGGAGCCTACCTCTGTCCTGGAGACTATCAGTAACCCAAGCCCTCCTACTTCCACTTCAACGCTGTCGTCTTCTTTGGGCGGCGGCGGCGGCGGCGGGGGTTCTACAGATACAGCCGGCGTGGCGGCAGTTTCAGGAAACTCCTCCCAAAAATGGCTGCCAGTGCAGCAAGAAAGCAGCAGCTCCATTATAGGAGTTGAATCAGGGTGTGGGAATTCAGAGCTCCACCCAATTCCACCCGCCCTGGAGATCGGCGGCGGCGGCGGCGCCACCGGCGGAGGGGAGAAATGTGGGATGGGAATGGAGGAATGGGAGGGGGTTCTGTCGGAATCTGCAGCGGGGTCGCCGAGCCAAGAGCAGTCTATACTGAGGTGGATCATGGGAGACGTGGAGGACCCATCTATGGGATTGAACAAGTTGCTGCAAAGTGGTGGTCCGGCGGCGGATTTTGAATTCAATGGTGGGTTTGGTATTGTAGATCAGGGTGGGGGTGGTGGTGGTGGTCTGGGGTTGGACCCAGTTATCTCTGGTGGTGGGAATTTGATGGCTCTAATGAACAACCCTACTTTGCCCACTTCAGGGTTTCCTCACAGTACCACCAACAAATTCAACAATGAAAAGGTGGGTTTGGCCCCAAACTCATCATCAACTCTTCCTAATCACAAGCTTCCTAACCCTACTCCAAATCACATGTTCTCTCCATTATCTAACAATCTTATACCCATTTCACTATCTCCATCCACATTTAATCAACACCCACCATTTGATTCTTCTGATGTCAAGCCTCAGATTTTCAATCCCCAAGTGCTAATTAACCAGCACCAAGCACAGCATACCCAAAACCCAGCTTTTTTCTTGCCATTGTCATACACCCAACAAGAGCAGCACCTTTTTTTGCCACCACAGCCCAAGAGGCACAACTCTGGAGGGTTTGAACCAAATTGTTCGATCCCAAAGGTCCCGTTTTCGGATTCTGGGCAAGAGTTACTCATTGGGAGACAGCAACAGCAGCAATCACCTCAGGGGCTTGTTCATCAGCTTCAGTTGGCTCCTCATTATCTGCAACAGAGGCCAACAATGGTGACAAGGCCGAAAATGGTAGGCGACGAAATGGGGCTTCAACACCAGCAGTACCAGCAACAGCAGCAGGCAATAATCGATCAGCTATACAACGCGGCGGAGCTGGTCCAGACAGGGAATTCAGTACTCGCGCAAGGGATATTGGCGCGGCTCAATCACCAGCTCTCTCAAATTGGTAAGCCTTTTCATAGGGCTGCTTTTTACTGTAAGGAGGCCCTGCAAATGCTCCTCCACACAAACACACCCTCCACATCCCCTTCACTTTATTCCTCACCATTCAATCTCCTTTTCAAGATCGGTGCATACAAATCTTTCTCTGAAGTCTCACCTTCCCTTCAATTCGCTAATTTTACTTGCAATCAAGCTCTGCTTGAAGTCTTAGAAGGATTTGATAGAATTCATATTATAGATTTTGATATTGGCTTTGGAGGGCAATGGGCTTCCTTTATGCAGGAGCTTGCTTTAAGAAGTGGTGGCGCTCCATCCCTTAAAATCACTGCGTTTGCCTCTCCATCAACCCATGACCAGTTCGAGCTCGGTCTCACTAATGAAAATTTGAACCACTTTGCTACTGAAATTAATATGTCATTTGAGTTCGAAATTGTAAGCCTTGATTGCTTGAACACTGCTTCATGGTCTCTGCCTCTTCATGTCTCTGAGAATGAGGCTATTGCGGTTAATCTCCCAATTGGTTCAATTTCCAATTACCAATTGTCTCTCCCTTTGGTCCTCCGCTTTGTTAAACAACTCTCGCCAAAAATTGTGGTCTGTGTGGACAGAGTTTGCGACCGGACTGATCTCATTTTCCCAAACCATGTAATTCATGTCCTTCAATCTTATTCAAACCTACTCGAGTCTCTTGATGCTGTTAATGTGAATATGGATGCTCGGCAAAAGATTGAGAGGTTCTTGCTCCAACCAGAAATTGAGAAAAATGTAATGGGTCGCTACCGTTCCCCTGAGAAGACAACACATTGGAGGACCCTTTTTTTGTCATCAGGGTTCTCTCCGATAACTTTCAGTAATTTTGCAGAATCCCAAGCTGAGTGTGTAGTGAAGAGGACTCCAGTTCAGGGATTCCATATTGAGAAGAAACAGTCTTCACTTGTTCTCTGCTGGCAGCGAAAAGAGCTCATTTCAGCTTCAGCTTGGAGGTGCTGAGTAGCGGTATTGTGATATCAAGTTCATCAACATGTCCCGTGTGAAGGTGCCTCATGAATCATAACTTACTGCTATAATAGCTGATCTTTTTCAGTTATCTTGCCTGTGATTTTCTTTTGCTAATTGTCTTTGTGGTTTAGGTCGATTGTTTCCAAGTAAAAAGAACCAGATGTTTTAGTAACTGGATGGTCTTAGTATAGTTATCTTTCTTTCAGTCTCTTGTGTTGGATATGGATATAACTGTTATGGTGTTTCGTGCTACCATGCAAAAAACAACAGTTCGTGCTAATTATGTTGGGGCCTGGTGGCTATTTGTTGTACACTTGATGACAAGGCAAAACAAGAAATGGAAAAAATAAGAATTCAACCCTTTAAATTGATGTCTTTGTGTTGCATGTTTCGATGTATTTTCTCAGTTACATGTTGTTATAGAATCTGAACCCATATATGTGGAGAATTTGACAATGTCGCACTATTTCAATTTAGCATACATAACCAATGTTAAAAATGTGTTGTTGAAACCCAAATTGTTTGTGAAATTGTTTGTAAAATCTTTAAGTTCTAAAAATATTCACGCAATCCTGTTATTTTCTAACATGCATGGATTTTCCTATTCTGATTTATTACTAGATATCTTTGTATGCATAACCATATTCTTGCTAAATTCTGTAAAACCTCTAGTATCTTCTTTCAAGATTGTTTTATGTGTATGCTAATTCTCCCCTTTCATTATTTTCCATGAATTGATTATTTCATGAATCCTAAATTTGTCAGCTTCAGAATGTGTATAGATTCTATTCCGCTGAAGCTCTCTGATTTTTAGAATCTCAACCTGTTCCGACTGGGACTAATATTTCTATTTCTTAACTAACTGCTGCTCAAATAAGAGCTTTACAAAACTTCATTTGATATTTAATTTAGTTGCTACTTTATTTTGCCAGTATAGATTCTGGTATACTTTTTGATTTTCAGTTTAGTGCTAACCTAGGATGAGTATTGAACCATCTTTTTAGAGTGAGTTGATTCGAGTCTGATACTTGATCGAAAAACTTAGTTCTGGTCACCCTCTCTTTTGCTTCTCTGTTAGGTGGTACGATTAGCATATGTATATGGCAAACACAAGCACAAAAAAAGGCACAATTTAGCTAGATTTGAGTCCGAGAATTCGCAAATCTTGTTCTTCCCAAATATGTTTCAGTATGTTCGGCTATTGTTTGGAATAATGAATTAGTATATATTGTTCATCCAAGCAAGACCATTGGGAAGGTCGATGTTTAAACATTAGGCTATAGATTATAAAAATAGGATGGTTATCGTGACGGTGTGATGTCAACAGATTTTGAGCAATGCAGGTCTCAATCATAGGATGTTGGCTTAAATTCCTCTTAGTTACATGCACCTGTTGAAGAACTTCACAATTGCTTGTATTTTCTGCTAATTGTCTATTATGGTTGGTGCATTATACTATTGTTCTTATTATTGTTTTTATTGTATGTTTATATTTTATATTAGTGTATCAACTAATTTATGCATGCCAACACTGGTATTATCATACATTGAATTTGCTGATGTTTTGTTTAACCATTTTTATGTCTCTCCTGATCCAAATCACATGGGACTACTTGTACTATTGGACCACTACATGATTAGTTTAAACTCTTTCTTCTTTTTTTTTCCCCTCCTTGGGAGCTCATCATTTTATAATTTATTATGCCTTTCATAAGCACAATCATTATATTAAACCATTGGAACCATGTTGCATATGAGATTGATTTTTGGCTTTTATTATTATTATTACTAAACCAAATAGTTTGGCTCCTATTGACAATGAAAGTACTCTTGGCCCTGCAAACAACCCCATTATTATAATCATAATTATAATTTATATATAATTCACTTATTATAATCATTTTTACTTGTTTAATGAGCTCACCCACCCCTTTCAAATGAGGTCCCCTATCTTTGGCTCTTTACACACACACACACACATATTTTTTCTCTAACTTTTTTCTGCTAAATAAATGCATATCTATTTGCATGTAACTATGTTCAAAAGATTGTGTTGTGAATGGTGGTGATACCTTCATTTTAAGGGCATATGTAGGAAGGATATTTTTGTGCCTTCAATTGCTATGGGAAACAGAGTCATCTAGCTTTGATTATATTTGGATATCCAATCAAGTCGTTAAAGAGTTGTAATTCTGAAAATGCTTTCAATTGGCTTTTGTTTAGTTGGTGTTTAAACTCTTTAAAGTTGTTGATTAAAAAAAAAAGGGTGATTTGTTAAAGAATTGTAGGGTCATGAAAACAGAGGGTGACAGGCTGACATTTAGGTCTTCTTGTAACTTTACCTTGAGCTCACTCAAAGGGCTTCTTACAGATATATAGGTTGTTAACTTTCGTGTACAGACACTTATACATAAAAGGATTATGTGTGCAAGTACTTGGGACCAGCGTAGGTCACACTTTGTTGTATATATATATATATATATATATATTTTTGTTTTTACACTTTGTTGTATATGGGTAGTTTGGTCTTGTATTTGATTCATATCATGTTACAATGCGATTATAAAAAAGCCACCTAAATATATATATTTATAATTTTTTTTATTCTTTCTATAATTTTCTCCAATGTACCAATTTTTACCAACTCTTATCTCAACATTTCATACTTTTTTATATATATTAATTTTAGCCTTTTATATTTTTAAATACAAATATAAGAGAGAAAAAAATGTATATTATTAAATAAAAATGTAAAAGAAAAAATACTATGTATGTCATGACTCATGGACCATCAATAAGCTGCCACAAATATAGTATAAAAATCCATGTATTAGACCAAAGGGCTTTTGGCTTAATGGTATAACCTCCTCATCTTCAAAGAAGAGGGGAGGGGTTCGAGCCCGGGCGTGGGCAAAAAAAGTATGTGTGTGTGTTTGCTTTACCATCCAAAAAAAAAAAAAATTTCATGTATTAGAAAATGTAGGATCCAAACATGGTTGTATTTACATATACACATTACTATATATTCTATATTATTCAAAAAAAAGTTCTTATGATGGTGATTGAGATAACAAAAAAAAAGAAAAAGACCAGATGTGGATTTTTTATTGTGTCTAAAAGTGTCTAGGGTATGTCCGGGACTTTTTGTTGGTCCGTGGCATTTCTATTTCTCAGCTTTAAGAAGGGGGTCGGACTGTGCTAATTTGGATATTGGATATATATATATACATCCAATATATATATATATATATATATTATGATCTATTTTGTCTTGAAGATACAAAAATTTTATTAAAATTTATCGATGAATGATCGTTACTTGATAAATTTAATAAATATTTTATCAAAGAGCACATAGTCTAATGATATAACTTTTTCATTTTCAAAGAGAAAGCGTAAGAGTTCAAATTCGGGCGTGGACAAAAAATGTGTGTGAATGAATCTTTAAAAACAAAGAAGCAGCCTAAAACTACTCTACATGCACAAATTTTATCATATGCACATTTTTATGAAAATAATAAACTATATATTTCAATAAATTTCCATACAACAAAATGTTCTAATACGGTTAGTATACAACACTAATGATTTATAGATGAAAAATGAAAAACACTCAACGTGAGATGAGATATGAATTATGTCACTTTATTTCAAGTTATGTAAAAAATCTAACTTCAATACACTGACATTATATCTATCGTTGCTATGCGTAAAAAAATTGCTCCAAATTGAGGGTATGCCCTCTGTACTTCCGTATTCTGTTTTTTTTTTTTTTTTTTTTTTTTTTTTTTTTTTTTTTTTTTTTTTGAGCTTAATACAACTCCAAATTGAAGCTTTTCTATTTTTTATGTTTTATATATTTTTTAAGTACTCTGTGTTGTGTTTAGTAGCATTAAAATATCTTTAAAAAATAATAATAAAAAAATTAGTTATATCTTAATTTAGTTAAAAACATAATAATAATAAAAACTAGAAAATGGAAATGATAGGTAACATGTAACCATATGACGCAAAGTTATTTAATATACATGGAGTAAAATATTATTTCTTATAAAACTAAACTTAAAAAATTGAGTTAAAATGTTTTAGGTTGTAGGTAAGGTTTGACAATACAGTGTGATGATACAATGTATGTAACTAAAATTATAATTCTAACAGCCAAATCTTTCTCTACTACCTACAGATTTGGGGGATCTAACAGTGTTCGAATTTAAATTACAATCCAATTAACTTAATTCCTATAAAGAAGTAACATAGAAAATGAAATATTTAACTACCTATTCTTAAATAAGTTTGGTATTATATAAGATATTGATATTTGTACTAACATGATTAATTAATTTATAGTTTTTATGTGCTTAGAGCAGCTTCTATTTCTATTCTATGCTTTCTCGTAGTTGGAAAGGGCCCATATGCTAGCAACTAACAATTGTCCCGTCACATCACAACTTAAAGTGTTATATATATATATATGTGGGCAAATTTCACCAAAACCTTTGATACTATCACTTTTTGTATTAAATACTTCGAACTTATTTTATAAAACCTTCAACACTATAAAAATTGATCACATTACATCATATCTGTGATAAAAGGACAAAACTCACATTACACCATGTCAATACCACCAAAGCCCACATAAGCTGCCGCCTTTGCCATTTCTCCATCGATCTCGACTCTTCTCCTTCACCTCTTTGGCCGACGAAGTCATCACACAACCTTTACTTTCTCTCTCTAAAACTATTCACTCTCTCTATATATTGCTCTATTTGCATCAACACACAGTCATTTTGTGCTTTGGTGACTTAAATGTCACCAAGAGTATTTTAGTAATTGACAAAATCCTTATTTTGGCTTTTTTAATTGATTTGGTTTATCAGAAGGGTAGTTTCATCCTTTTATCATAGGCACGGTGCAATGTGATCAGTTTTCATAATATCGGGAGTTTTTTAAAGTAGGTTGAGAGTATTTAATAAAAAAAAGAAGATAGTATTGGGAGTTTCGTAAAATTTGCCTTGTGTATGTTGACAAATAAGTCATGCAAACATTTATAGTGGTTGTATTACAATATTTTATTAAAAGAGTCAAGTACAAAAAACACGCCTATAGTGCACCCTTTTCGTGCAAAAAAACATTCCTAAACTATGACATTTGTGCAAATAGGTCCTCTTTAAAAAAATGAACTAAATTGCCCTTAATATATAAAAAATTAATATTTTGTGAAATTACTAAAAAGGGTAGCTAAAAAAACCATATTCCCTCCTTTTTCTTCTTCTTCTTCCCCGGCCACAAGCTCTCTGTTGTGACCTCTCCGGCAGCCTCTTCTCGGCCGTCCGCAACCTCCACCTCTCTCTCTGCGACCTCAGA